CCAAAAAGTGACAACAACTCAAGTCTCTGTCAACACAGGGACGGACAAAGGACATGTGGCCACCATGCAATAGAGTATCATCCGGCCACAGAAAGCAATGAAGTCCTGACACCAGAAACAACGCGAATTAGCCTTGAAGGCATGCGTTACGCTACGCGAAATGGGCCAGACACAAAAGGACTTGCACCGTTTTGATTCCGTATGTGAGGCGCACGGAGTGGACAAGTCCACAGAGCCGGGACGTGGCCAGGAGGTGGCTGGGGCCGGGGGGAGGGGCAGGAAGTTATTGCTCAATTGTTTCTGTTCGGAGCGGTGAGAAGTTTTGTGAATAGATAGCCATGACAGGCACACGACATCGTGAATATCCTTACTGCCATTGAATCGCACACTTGCAAATGGTTAAAATGCTAAACCTCATGGTGTGTGTACTTTACCACAATAAGGAAAAAAAAAAGAACAACTTGTGTGATGGCAAAGAGAAATTTTTAAAAAAGCAAAGAAAAATGTTGAAATGATGTCACAGCTAAGCACTGATACCCTTGATTGACGAGAGTCCGTACAGCTCAGTGGGAGAGACGAGGACACAGGACACAACGAACGGCAACAAACCTGTGGAGACTGTTCCCTTCCACTCAAAGTCAAAGAAATGTCAACTGAAACAGGAGTGGCGTTACCAGCTAACTTCTGATAACCTCTGACGAGCTGTGGTGCGTATGAGGGTGGCGTCTGAAAGTGGGAGCGCCAGCCTCCAGACAGATTCTTTGGGGGGAAATTCAGAATATTTGTCACAAATTTAAAACACGTGTACCTTTCGACCTGGCAATTCCAATAATACGAAATTACACAATAGATACACTTGTAAAAGCACTTCTCAGGTAAACACACATATCTGTACGGAGATGTTCTTACCAGCATGATGTGTGTCAGGACAGACAGGCACATGACCCGCAAGTCCACCGAAGGGCAGGGGCTGGCGAAGCCACTGTGTACCCAGACAGGAGAGGGCAGAGGGGAGAGCAGGGGAGGAAGGAAGAAGAAGAGGGGGGCAGGGAGACAGAGACTCTGACCATACGAAGATGGAAACACAGCCGGGGTGCAGCACGAGCAACGTGCGGAACAGAAGGTGCGGCAGCACTGCAGTTTCTTAGATGTTTTTATATATGTACATACACACACACACACACACACATACACACATACACATACATACACACACATACACGCACGCATACACACATACATACACACACGCGCACATGCATACACACACATACACATACATACACGCATACACACATGCACGCACACGCATGTACACGCGCATACACACATGCATACACACATACACACACATACACACATATACACAGACACATGCACACATGCATACACACATGTACACACACGCATACACACATGCATACACACATACACACACATACACACATATACACAGACACATGCACACATGCATACACACATGTACACACACGCATACACACATGCATACACACATACACACACATACACACATATACACAGACACATGCACACATGCATACACACATGTACACACACGCATACACACATGCATACACACATACACACACATACACACATATACACAGACACATGCACACATGCATACACACATGTACACACACGCATACACACATGCATACACACATACACACACATACACACATATACACAGACACATGCACACATGCATACACACATGTACACACACGCATACACACATGCATACACACATACACACACATACACACATATACACAGACACATGCACACATGCATACACACATGTACACACACGCATACACACATGCATACACACATACACACACATACACACATATACACAGACACATGCACACATGCATACACACATGTACACACACGCATACACACATGCATACACACATACACACACATACACACATATACACAGACACATGCACACATGCATACACACATGTACACACACGCATACACACATGCATACACATGCATACACACATGCACACACGCATACACACACATGCACACACACACATACATATTTATATTAATATATATGAAGCCACTGAGTGAGCCTGGGGGTGAGGCTGGATTAGCTGGTGAAAGTCCTCAGTCTCCGTGAGTCAAATGTCTTCCCTTCTGTGCATGGAGGGGATTGTACCTAATAATGTCGTTCATCTTAGAAAGGGCAGGCGCCATCCCTGGCTGAGACATGCAGAAGAATCCAGGAGTCGGATTTCGGTGAGTGAGGCGCATCTGCATTCGGGCGAGCCCCGTAGGGTGCAGCGCACACCCCAGCTCGGGGGCCAGGACTGGCAAGGCAGACGCCGGCTTCCCCTGCACCCAGACAACAGTGCTCTCACCCC